CATTCTTTCTCTTTTTATTTGTTATTTTTGTTGAGGGGGTGGTGGGGCTGGGGACAGAACCCAGGACATACACATTGCTAAGCAAGCCCTCTACCTTTGAGCTAAACCCCAAACCCCCAACACTGCACTTTTCAGAGAAATGTCTGATGCATGGAATTTAGATTTAGATCAAGTTAAGCAGTGTTGTCAAAACCAAGATGGCTGATGAGGCCAGCAGTCTGGGGTGAGAAGCAGTAGTGTAACAGTGAAGGATATAAAAGACTTGAGATGTGAAGAGTATTGAGCAGGACTCTCTCCAGCACTTCTCAGGAGCTAAAGCCCTGACCGTGCTGTGAGACTGGTTTTGATTTGTGTGTCTATGTGTATTGTAGTGGAGAAAAAGGAATTCTATATATGTTTGGAGATTTCTACACAAAGGAGATTGTCTTCTCAATTTTCAGATGTCACCTCTCCAGAAAGTATTTCAGGAAGTCAATGGAGGGAAAGAGAAAGAAAAGGCCCTCCTCTTCAGCCATGAGAGTGAAGCCTCCATTCTAATACAAAACGATGGTTGTGTTTAGAGTTAAAACCAGTTGGTAACTTTTGTAATGAACAATTTCACTAGGGATTAATTTCAATTTTCTTCTCTCCTTATTGTTCAGCAGTCAAGGCTGAAGCTAGAGCACGCTATCACAAAGACCCAATTGTGCACAAGAATGCAACTCCCAATTCTCGACACGTGCCCAAGCCAGGTGAAGGAGTGCTGGGCTTTGTCCCAGTATTGAATAATTGCCTGGTACCCTCAGAGTTTCACTGTAACATGCTACTCCATTGAAGAAGAGAGAGGACTACTGTAGCTTTCAGCATGAATTTAACTTGTTTGGGCCACAAAATTTGAAACAGAAAAGCCATAGGAGAAAAAACAAAAAAACAATGGATAATCAGTAAAACCCACTCTACAACTAGCAGCTTGTGCCCTGACTTCAGTAGGAAGCCCCTTCAGCTTGATGCCTTTGTGTTCAAGCCACTATGCATGCCATTTATTCTGAGTGACTCCAGTGTGAATATGACATTACTAATGATCTGCTAAGTGTGTACAGATGTGGGTTCCTCCAGATGTGGTGATTAATAATGTAATGGAGATAGCTGTTTGACTCATGTTTATGAGTTGTTGCCTTTTATTACTTTTCTGAGTTTATTTGCTTTGAGCTATGTTTTAACCCCAGCCAACAAACCCACCTTTAAATCTCAGAGCTTCATCCCCCACCCCCTCCTAAATCTCAAGAGGAAAACAGGGAGGAGGGAAATGCCCCAGGCTGGAGGGGACTGCTGGATTCATCCCATGCAAGTATCAGACTCCTTGGGCAAACTGAAAATCGAAGTCATTGCCCCTTTCAAGGACCCATATGAAAGACGTTGGAGGACCCCAGCATAATATTTGCAGCTTAGAGAGGAATACAAAGGCAGGGATTTCTTTTTTTAAAAAATCCAGTAAAATATGTGATCATTTTGAAGTAAGCCCAGGCCCCTGGCCAGTGTTTCTGGAAGATGTTGCTTTGCTCTTGCTTAAAAACAGAACACTGATGAGAGGTGGAATGAAATGTTGTTACAGATGTTCAGTTCTGCATTAAGGCTGTTGGAATTACCACCACATCTTAAATCAATTCCCAGAGCATTGTCTGGAGGTTATGTCACTGAAATAATGAATCCTCTTTAGTCAAGAAAACGCAAACATGTTAAAACATCATTGTAAGTTTAAATTAAACTCCAGCGCAAACCAGGGGATCTGAAGCCTCATTAGACCAGCCTGACATTTTTCTAACACTGACTCTTCTCCCCAAACTGTAAAACTGTTAGATTCAGGGCCTATTAGACAAGAGAGCACTGGGAAGTTATAACAGAACATTAAGTGTTATACTTAGGGATGTGCAAAAACAAGCCCTTGAATTTTATGAGGACTCGGGGACTGGAGAGAGGTTTGCCTCCTATAAAAATTCCATATTAGATTCCTGAACTTGTTTGTATTTTAAAGAAGCTGGTAACGCAGGTTTCTCTAAAGGAGCATGTCTTCATGCAACTCACTCCACACAGAGGCAAGTGGAAATGCTAGGAAGGTAAATTGCAACTAGCAAGAGCAAGTTAAAGACAAGGCTGTGGTTATGTGTGCTCCTGAGATGGTGGCTTGTTACTTCACCATGTTTGTCTTTCATGAAAGTGAGTAAGTTTAATTCCACTTTATTTCTCTCATGTAATCAGCTAGAAGTTTTTCTAGATCTGCTTAATATATATATATATATTATACATATATATATATATATATATGTATGTCTTGGTGGAACTCATAGAAAGAATAATATTTAAATATTGTTTGTGTCCTTCTTAGTAAAGAGAATTTATCCCTGCTCCGCTTGTGAGACCTAAGCCATGTGTAATGTTCTCCATTACACAGCATTCATATATTTAAGCTGAGGACATTATCTATCCCAGCTCTTCAAGGAACAGATTTCCAGGCTCTGAATAAAGTTTTGAACATGGTTCCATTGAAGTGAACAAATCCCAGTTTAAATGCACTATGATTATGATGGATGATCTCTCAGAGTCACAATGAAAATAAATAGTTGCCTTGCATAGAAGCAGGCATAACACTCATTCCACAATGAGTTGTCTCCAAGAGCTGGCTAACACATATTAACATGCAGATCTCACATCTGAAGAGCCATGTGAGTGAACAACAGGTACTAGGTGAAAGGAAAATGGATGCTTAATTAAAGAGGATGCTTTATTGAAGGCCCAGAGCTAATGAGGAAGGAAAAGTTAAGCAAGGAATGCAGCAGAAAAGCCAGCAAAAGTGTCTGACAGAGACTCTTTCCATAATTGGCTACAGCCATGGTAACATGCAATGGTCTTGAGTAAAGCTAACCATTGTGGACTAGGCTAGGTCAAAGACCTTTTGGGGTATTGCTCTGTAAGCTTATGAAAGGAGAAGAACAATTTGTACCCCCAATAAACATACTCAAAAATAAAAACCTCACTTTAGTAGTGTGCTAGCAACTGTCCAGGTCACCCTGTTGCAGTTCAATAATGGCCCATATTAAAAGGTGGCCTTGCATTATGTATAGAATCAATGTAAGGCTCTCTTCTCCAGCCTAAGGTGGGAAAATGTAAAAGTATATGTAGGCATGTGTGTGAGCATGTAACACAAACTCTCACTTTAGCCTGCCTTGGATTGCTTTGGATGCCTGCCCCCTGTCCTCTGAAAGGAAGATGAATTCAGGTCAAACTCAGAGTGCCTGTTTGCTGGCTGAGAGATGCATATCAAGTCTAAGTGATTTTTTTCAATACCATTTATGTGGCTTGTATTTATTTCCTTTAATCTTTTAAGTGCTGTTTAGTCTCAGTGTGATTTGCTGTGGATACTCATTTCTGATAAGATGTGATATCCTCCCAACCACATAGCCCCAGCCTGGAGCACTAAGTGACTGATAGGGTCTCAGCCTGAGTGGAGCCTAGGGTGGGAGGTGGGGTGGGAATGGAGGGGGAGCAGGTGGGAGAGGGAATGGGTTGTGAGCATTTGCAGGTCCTTTCTGGACTCGATTCCACAGTGTTCCTCTCTCCTTGTCACACCATTTCCCCTTGCCTTGGGTCAGTCAGGATGAGGTAACCCAAAACTGACAGTAGGACAGAGGATCAGCTTAAGAAACATGGCATTCTGAAGCAAATTTGGAGGTTATTTAAACTGTTCAAATCCCATTGGTACTGTGTGTCCTAACTGCCTATGTTTATTTAGGGTCTTCAGGGAAGTGCTGTAGGGTGCTTGTTCTGTTATGGGTCTTTTGGACAATAGCAAGCAGCTGAGCAGCTCATACGTATTAACATATGTCACTGCTAATATTTCTCTTGGCTTTAAGGTAACTTCCATACATTCTGAGTTTCAAGGCTGCTTCCTTCTAGTCATATGACATTCATCTCTGAGAATCCGAGGCTCCTATATTTCCTTCTTGATATTACAGTTGTAACCTGGACTGTGTGAGGGTGGGGAGAGCAGGGCTAGAATTGTCTTGCACATGCCCTTGGGTGACAGGCTGGGCAAGTATCTGCTAATTATCCAGCAGTGCTCTTAAAAAACCAGCATGGCGCAGGCAACCCGTCTCCAATGCTTATTATTGGGTCTCTTTGGGCAAAAGCTGCAGAGCACAGCGTGTTGTGTTGTCTGTGACTAAAGCTTCATATTGCTTAGTGATCTGTGTGGTTTAGACATTTGGAAATCAAGTCTATGGTTTCCAGGCCCTCTCTGCTGCCCTCCACCCCTCATCTGCCACTGCATCATTAAGAGGTATCATCCAATGACAACTTTCTCCTTCTTTGCAATGCTCTTCTCCTGCCCCAAGTACTCTCCCTGGTGGCAGATGCAAGGAAGAGAGCTAAGCTGGGCTGGGGACTCTTGAGCCCACAGGCACTAGTGTTACCAGCCCTGTGAACCACGTGAGTGAAACATGGGTAGCAGAGGCCTGGGATCCCTTGCCTCTCTTCAAGGCTCTTGCTGTGGGTGCAAGGATTGGGAACCAGTTATATTGGTTCCTTTGGGGAAGCAGCAGGCTGGCTGTTAATCTGCTACCTCAAATACAACTCTATTTCTGATGTTAGTTACAAGAAAATTCATTTGATTATTTAACCAAGCAAAGTATTAACTCTTAACCAAAATTAACTCTTAATAATGACATGTATTTTTATATGGAGATAAATCACTGTTTCTCATTCTTTCTTACACCAGCGCATTTCTAGGTGGTTCTAGTTTGTTTACAGTGCATGCTCAAGGGTTGGTGCATAGAGCAATATTGCTTCACCCTCCTCTCAGCTGGCCTCTCTCACTAACGCATCCTGTCTTTGTCACTGGGCCTCTAAAGACAGCCCTGACTCTAGTGAGTGACTGAGCCTTGAATGTGTGTCCTTTGATATCTTGCCTGTGTTTCCCAGTCTGCCCTCAAACTGTTCATAATCTCACAAGTTACCTGTATTTGCAGTTGAAGATGAGCAGCCGCCAACACTGTCACCCAAAAAAAAACAACGTAATGGGGGTATGAGGAACTCACCCAACTCCTCCCCGAAGCTGATGAGGTAAGAAGATCCCCCTTCAACCCCAGCATGGTCACCTTTCCAGCTCCTTCTCAGGTCTCCCCACCTGCCTAAGCCCAGGCCCAGACCTTCCTCCCCAGGCAGCTCCATGGGGGAGGGGAGAGAGATCGTTAGATGGCTTCTTAAAGGCTGGAGTATTTATTCTGTCAGCTTGTCAGCAGTTAATGATAGAGCTGAAAAAATTCTGTCACGAAAAACAGTTTGAAAAGCTGTTTGAAAAATACATAGGCTTTAAAGTCTTAGCTGTCACCATGTCCTGTCTGTGTGTAGTTACTAAACAGCAGTGGCACTAATGACGCTGGGAACCAATCAGAGGGACTCTGTGGTTAGTTTGCCTGAGGCAAGACTCTTTCTGCTGGAGTCCCTCTGAGGACTGGTTTCTGTACTTAAGGCCATATGTGAGATGTATCATCACAATCAAAAATGAACCTGAAGATTACCTTCCTTTTATCCTGTCGGTGGAAATCAAATTTCTGTTAATTGATTTTGACTGAGAAAAAAAAGTTTAATAATCCGTGGGCTTGCCAAAGCAAAGTTCAAAACTAATCCAGTCCTGCTTAGGTTAAAAGCAATATTAATTATGAAGCTGCCTGTCCTTCCTTCCTTCCTTCTTCCCTCCCTCCTTCCCTTCCTTCCTCCTTTCCTTCCTCCTTCCCTCCCTCCCCTCCTTCTCTCCCTCTCTTTCTTCCTCTCCCTCCCTCTCTTTTTTCTTTCCCTCCTCTTCCTTCCCTTTTCCCTTCTTCTTTTCTTTCTTCCTTCCCTCCTTCCTTCCTCTCTTTCTCAGTCTATTTCTCCCTCTCATCTCCCCCCCCCCATTTCTAAACAGTGACACCATCTAATAAATAGCAAATGAAACACAGTATCAGTACAACTCTACTAGTTCCTGTTTGATCAAAATCTTCTTGTGTCACCTTCGATGTTTTGTGTCTCCCAATCTTGCCAGTCTATTTTCTCAGTCTCTTAACTGTCCAACACTTTAATAAAAAGGAATGACTTAAGGGCATGGAGATAGTTCAAAGGATTACGTGTTTCCATATAAACATAAAGACCTGAATTGACATGAATTTGATACACATAATCCATTGGTGCTGAGGAAAAACCAGGGTACAGAGACTCATGGGTAATCTCAAGACTGCAGAGAAGGAGACAGGTCGATTCTTGGGGCTTGGCCAGCCACCCTGGACCACATGGTTACTTCTAAGTCAGTGAGAGACCCTATCTCAAAAGAAAATATGAAAGGTGCCTAAGGAACAAGGTTGTCCTCTGGTGTCCTCTGGTGTGTAGAGAGAAAGGGAGAGAGAGAGAAGGAGTGTGTGTGTGTGTGTGTGTGTGTGTGTGTTTTGTGTGTACTGCTCACTCTAAATCCTTCCTCTTCTGCAAAAATACCTGCCTCCTGACATTACTTTCCTCTTTCATGGATATAGATTCTCTCTCTCTCTTTCTCTCTGAAATGGAGTATTGGTTATTTCCATTCCCCACTTCTCCACTGCATTCCTGCCTCACCTACATCCACCTCTCTGGGACACAGTTGGGGACATGGATTCCCAGAGGCAGGTCCCCCTGGCCCTTTCACTTCCCCTTGTCACAGGGCCTCCCTGTGCATCATTGCCTGGGTGCTCCTAACTTACATGCATGTTTACAGTTCATGAGAAGGAATAAAATGCACCGACTGCCAAGCCCCTGGGTTTTATGATGCCAGTTGTCAGCCTAGCATTCAAGTCCTATTTACTCACCTTTAGGTAATCGGCTTACTAATGCTAATAGTTTTCGCCATTTAAAGGAGAGAAAAGCCTGAGTGCTTTCTTTTGCCTAAATTTAGAGAATCAAATAAATAAATAAAGAGGAATCTGAAAAATGTGAAAACTTGGGAGCCAAATTCCCTGTCCCTGCTTGCTATGTAAAGTATGACTGGTTGCTTTGATCTCCAGTAATAATAATTCTGAGGAGTTACACTGTTTTCATATGCTTCAAAGCTGTGTCAAAGTTTGCTGCTTAAGGGTACTTCTTTATTCTGTTGGCTCTTGGGTACCAAGATGACAGGTCTCCTGTAAGCGGTGGAGGCTGTTTAAGTCGTAGCCTTCAGCAAAACATCAAATTACCAAATCCAGGGTAACATACTTCTACACAAATGCCTTTCCTGTAGATAGATTATACCATATATATTAAATACTTTAGTGTTTCGTGCTACATTTTATGTGCAATAGAAAGTGATGGTTTGAGGTAGCCTTGGGGGGACTTTTTTCCATAAGCAGAAAAAGCTAGTGTATACCGTATCAAGTATGGTTTTTACAGGACTTTCTGCCCGAAGGCCTTTGTAAATAAGTAATGATCAACAGATTGGCTGTGGGTTTTTGAAAAGCATGCCCATGTCAGTTTGCATGATGGGAGAGAATTTTCAAAGTGGATCTTGCTTTCATTGCCTGCCTGAGAGGGGCCGAGGGAGACAGTCATCCCAGGCCAGAGCTGTCTGCTTCATAGTACATCAGAATAGCTAAACGAGGGTCAGGTGGTGAGCCCAAACTTGCCAAGCTACAGAACTCAGGCTTCTCATGTTGGCCAAAGTTAAAGCCATCTGATGCATTATCTCACCTGTCCACAATGGTCTCCATCATGGCTTCCTTGGAACACACGATCCCATGCAAGTCAGGATGTGTGAGATGTTCCTCTTTGTCTTTGACTTTTTTTTCCCAGGTGGTAGACATTCTCCATCTGAATGTCTCTGTTTTCCTTCACACCCAGTCTAGCAACAAAGGACACAACCAAAGGGCCTCCTGGTTGGCCTTAGAATATATAGCACTGTCCATGAGGCTGCTGGTTCCTGTTCTTTCCAGATCCTGCCTGCCTTCCTGTTTCCTCCTACCTCTTCCAACACCCCGTTATTACTCTTGGGAAGATAGGACTCCCTGTTCCTATTCCTTATGAATCCTCCCCCCCCCCCCAATCCACAAAGAAACGAATGGCTTATTTGACGTGGACCTTCAGATGTGGTTCCATGCCTCACTTTTGAGCAGAATCAATCACTCTTGAGTATGGACAGGTTTTAGTGGCCTATGAGTGGTGATATGGATAGCGCCAAAGAAACTCTGAGCCCAGAATGGCCTGGGATGGTCTGTAATTTACCACACTGGCTTCTACAAATAAAATATCTCCCTGCGTCAGGCCTTCTTCCAAATCATGTGCTAGCAGGAAGTGTGGGGACTCTCCGCTAATGGTCCCATTTCCTGTTTTGTCTGGTGTCAGGCTAACCCTGGTGTTTTAGTGGCACTTCATTCTCTGTATGATCATTGTGATCAGCCTTGTTTTTGTGTGGTTTTGTGCACCTGGATATGGAGGTAGAGGATAGTTACTCAGCCTGATAGAAACAGCCTCACAGCCAGCTATAGCCAGTGACAGTGAGGATGAATGTGTGATGAAAGGCAACCCTTGGTACTCTACCCACTAAGAAGTGAATCACCACCGTGACCCCTAAGTCTCTCCCTCCCTCCCTTTCCCTCCCCCTCCCTCCCTCCTTCCCTCCTTCTTTTCTTCTTCCTCTCTCTCTCTCTCCTGCTCTCTCTCTGTGTCACTTCCCTTCTTTGCTGGTTTCTTATATCTGGAATTATTGAAAGAATTTCTCCTACTTTCTATGCAGATCATCACACCTGTTGACTAGTTTTCTCTCCCTAGTGGGTTGCTGTTTGGAGGGTAACTGTGTCTCTCCTCAGTTGTAAATCCCTAGAGTGCAAGAATTGTGCCTCTTAGTAGTTCAGTCAAAAGTCTTTAACTTGGGCCTCACAGACCCTATTTGGTGATAGCTGTTGAGAAAGTTAAGAAAGCAAGTTAAAGTCTGCTGCCTACCCTGTAATGAACATTTGAAGAGGTCTGATGTGTATCTAACCTCCCCTCTGTGTCCTGCCCAGTAATCTCTACCTGAATCATCTTCAGTTTGTCCACAGCCAGATTCAAGGAGTTGTTTTCTCAAGTGCTTTCTCAGCTGAGGAGAATTTGTACCTAGGGTCTCACGGGTGTCCTCAAATGGAGTCCCAAGAGGCTGTGGGTACCTCCCAGATCAATTCCCATCCCATAGATGTTCCATGAGGGTCTGCTGTGTTTAAAGTGTTGTGGGAAGTCTTTGAGGAATCTAAAGGATGGTGTGGTAGAGGGGAATCCAGTCTTCAAAAGGAGACAGGCAAGCCCATACTGCACCTGTTTATAATACCTGTGAACCTAGAAGTACTGCTGTCCCTCTGGGTGGGTGAGGCTGGTTTGTGAAGGAGGTCCCATTTGCCATCACTTATAGGAGATTTTCTACTGATGTTAGTTACTACATCCTCTGGTTCATGGTTGCTGGGGCACCATTTCCAGAGTGCTGTGCATATAAACCTGTTGATAACTGTAGCTCTCTGAGCACGTATCACTCTCCCTTATGACAGATAGAAAAGCTTGGGCATAAAGAGGTGAAGTCTATTACATCTGGAGAAGTCTCACATCATCACTAAGATGGAGAAAACAGTGATATACTCAGATCACTTTGTACATGGAATAGTATGACCACAATGATGGGTCCATGGAGTAGCATCACTGGAATTGAAGATGTGTGTGTTCTAGCCTCCCAATTATGGAGGATCTTGCCTGTTGTAGGCATCAAGAAACCCTTTTAGGTTTTTTGAGGAAGTGGTACTCTAAGTTGGTTGTGGGAGGATGGCCATGTAGTTCCTCCCCATCAGAGCCTTTCTGTGATCATAAATGTGGAGAGGTGTAAGGGGAAGTCCACCCAACCCCAGCCTCTGTCAGGGCTTTCTGAATAATAAGGGACTCAGAGGCTACTCTTGAAGTGTACATCAGGCCTGAGTTAGACAGTGATTCCAGGAAGATCACATGGTATTTCTGACATCAGTTCTGAGATGTAAGCAAGGCAGAGAAGCAGAGACATGATGATTCATGTGGGATGTGTCAGGTAGACAGTTTATACAAAGACATAACTCTCACCCAGGCTAGCACAG